ATAATAGTCACAAAAAGATGTGTATTGAAGAAAAATTGGCATTGACCAGGATCGGATTTATCATTAGACTCCAATCTAAGAACGCACAATTTCATTTGTTCATACATAATTATTCTGGTTTGGAGTTGCCTGTAATTTTACGATTAATTTTCTTAGGAATAGACAGTGGTGTAGTGCGCTATCAAAGAATTTCTCTGATGGTATGAAATGGGGAACCTTTTTTTTGGTTCAGCATCCAAACTTTGAATCCTATCCTGAAATTAGTCATTCTATTTCTTGGTATTCCTCCGATATTCACATAACAGGACTTTCATCTTGTTATGTAAAGATACTATGAGTAATATTAATTTCTTCGGCTTTTTAGTTTATTTGCCAACTCCCTCTGAAATTAAATGGATTTTCAACATTACCTAAGCACTTATAATGGCATCTACTTATTTTGTCAAATTGCTAAGTTATTTTGTGGTAATTGATATATATATATATNTAACTTCGAGTAGATTCTTTGAAAGTCGAGGTAGCCCTCGGTATACTTATTCAGACATTAGTACATGTCTTGTAGGAGTATCTAGGAAGTTGAAGGAATTGGGAGGTTGTTAAGTGAAAATTAAAGGCGCTCTCCAAATGTTATACCGGATGTTTATCAAACATAAGGGACCATTCCTTGGACTATTCCAAGGATATTTTGTCCCTTGATGATTTTTGATTTTTGATAGGGCGCTTTCTTTCGAAGATACGGGCGAAAAAGAATTTCGACAATAACAATTTTGGTATCTAACAATTCCGTTGGTACCTACCAACAACATTCGGATTACTACAAACGGGTACAGAGATTCAATTTGAATAGTATGTCTCGTACATGATCCTGGTGTTTTTGAAAGAGTTCGGGAGTCGATGACGAGAAGATTGGATTCTGGCATCCGAGCGGGGGTAGTCATTTTCAACAGTTCTACTAGATTAAGAAACATTGCATGCAATTTTTGGTAATAAATTGTTATTGTCGAAATTCTTTTTCGCTCCGTATCTTTGAAACAAACGCCCCATCAAAAATCATCAAAGGACAAAATATTCTTAGAATAGTCCAAGGAATAGTCCCTTAAATTTTTGCCACATGTTTAATAAACACCCTATATATACTCGAGAATATTCAGTGGCACTTTATTCAAGCCAACTCCCCACACTTCGGAGGCCTTTGGGAAGCTGGGGTGAAATCCATGAAACATTTAGATAGGGTTACAGGTAATGCATCTCGAACATTTGTGCAATTTTACTCCTTGCTGGTTCAAATTGAATCTATACTGAACTCCCGCCACTTATATCCATTATCGTCCGATCCCAATTATTGAAATCCTACAACGCCTGCCCATTTTCTGATTGGGAATAATTAACTGACTTCCTGGTTCAAATCTGAAACATGTTTCGGAAAACTGACTATCCCCTAACTAGAAACTTCAGCAGCGCAGGAAACTATTTTGGGATGATTATACCAAAGAGTTCGTTGTCGAACTTCAGCAACGCGTCGAATGACACAATCATCCTGATCAACTACAAGAAGGTGACATGGTTTTGATGCAAGAGGACAATCTACCTGCGTTGAGATGGCGCCTCATCTTTGATAGCTGGAATGCTGCTAGCTGCCGCTGTGTACGACCCAAGAATATGCCAATACCATTAAATTGATTATTACCTTTCAAATTTCCGCCCTTTTCTATCAGTATATGGACTTTGTCTCCATTGACAAGTTTGATGGACAAGAAGCTGACAACCATTGAAAAATGAGCTGAGGCATATTAAATGCTTGTTTGCAACAGACGTTTTGACACTATTGTCAACTCTTTTTCATTTAAAGGTGCCTTGGATGTATGTTGGAATGTGCTTTGCAACTTTCTGTTGGCACAATGAAGATCACTGGAGTTATTCGATAAATTACTTACATTGGGGAGAAGCTAAGACATGGTATGGTGTACCAGGAAGCAAAGCAGAATGTTTTGAAGAAACAATGAAATCAGCTGCCCCTGAGTTATTTCAGTCACAGCCAGATTTGCTCCACCAGCTGGTTACTATAATGAATCCGAATATCCTTATGAATGCTGGTGTACCTGTGTACCGAACCGATCAACGTGCTGGGGAGTTTGTTGTTACTTTTCCTCGAGCTTACCATGCAGGATTCAACCAAGGGTAAAAAAATACCTTTCATTTCATATTTACATCTCATATGTATCGATCTTAATTTCTAGGTATAATTTCGCAGAGGCAGTGAACTTTGCTCCAGCAGACTGGTTGCGTATGGGACGAGAATGTGTTCTACATTACTCTCACCTGAGGCGTTTCTGTGTCTTTTCTCACGATGAACTTGTCTGTAAAATGGCTCTTGATCCTGAGAAATTGGATCTCACAATAGCAGCAGCCACTTACCAAGATATGCTTGTTATGGTGGATACCGAAAAGAGATTGAGAAAAACATTGTTGGACTGGGTAAGTGTAAATCATTTTCAGATCATTGCCATTTATTCATGAAATGTTTATTCACAGGGTGTAACAAATGCAGAACGTGAAGCATTTGAACTACTCCCAGATGATGAGAGACAGTGCGAAGTATGTAAAACAACTTGTTTCTTGTCAGCAATGACCTGTAAATGTTCTTCCGAGGTACTAGTCTGTTTGAGACATTATAAAAATCTGTGTGAATGTCCCCCACCAAATAGAACTTTAAGGTACCGCTATACTTTAGATGAACTTCCTGTAATGTTGAAAGCTTTGAAATTGAAAGCTGAATCTTTTGATCACTGGGTAGCGAGAGTAAAAGATGCTCTAGACCCGAAAACCCCAAAAACTCTAAACCTTGCCGATTTGAAAGCTTTGTTGAGTGAAGCTGATGGTAAAAAATTCCCAAAATGTGATCTGCTTCAAACTTTAACCAGTGCAGTAGAAGATGCTGAGAAGTGCGCAAGTGTTATACACCAGCTGGATCTCAATAAGATGAGAACTAGAACTCGTAATTCAAATGACACAAAATATAAGCTTACTGTGGAAGAGTTAACCCTTTTTTGTGATGAAATTGATAGTCTAGCTTGTATATTGGAAGAAGCAAAGAGCATTAGAGTGTTATTGAAAGAAACAAGAAAATTTGAAGTGAGTAGCGAAAAACTTTTGACTATGGCATTAGCTGAGTGTCCTCTATCAGAACTAGAAGATTGTCATTCTCATGGGAATGGGCTGTGCATCGACCTTCCAAACTTGAGACAAATAGCAAACAGATTGAAACAGTGTCAGTGGCTTCAGAATGTTGAAAACTATAAATCCAAGACTGATGTAATGGGACTTGAGGCAATCAAGAACTTGATTCAAGAGGGAATTCTGTTACCTCCCCACCCTGAAATAGAGTCAGAACTATCGAATTTGCAGGGAATTCTACAATCCAGTGAAGAGTGGGAGCAACAAGCAAATGAAGTTCTCAAATCGGAAGATAATAATGTATTGATACAAGTAGATAAACTATTGAAAGAAGCTTCAAAAATATGCTGTTTCCTGCCAACAGAGGGACATTTATTTGATTCAATGAAGAAAGCTAGAGACTGGCTGAGATTACTAGAAGAAATGAATTCTGCCGAATATTACCCTTACTTCAGTGCAATGGAAGAATTGATAAAAAAAGGTAGATCACTAGCTTTACATTTGGTAGAGGTAGACAAAATGAATGAGTATCTCGCCATGGCTAGTGGATGGAAAGATAAAACTAGTAGAGCATTTTTACGAAAAAATTCCACTTGTACCTTAATGGACGCATTGTCTCCAAGAATAACAATACCAAATGGTACTAAGACAAAAAAAGGGAAAAATTCTGAAGAAGAAAGCACTATATCACTCACCAATGTCATGGATCCAGCGACAGTGGTGGCTGTATTCAAAGATGCTGAAGATACTGAAATGGCCCTCTTGAAAAAACTACGAATTGCTAACATGGCCAAAAGTTTGGATCCAAAAGAAAATAATACTTTCTGCATATGTGGACGAGGATTGTTTGGTATTATGATGCAGTGTGAGTTATGCAAAGACTGGTTTCATTCAACTTGCACTCAGCTTCCTAAGGTAGCAACCACAAAGTTCAAAGGAAATTTTACCAATGTTGCTTTACACATGGGATTCAAAGATTGCAAATATTTGTGTCCACATTGTCAAAGAACAAAACGTCCCAGGCTAGATGTCATACTGAGCTTGCTCATGTCTTTACAAAAGCTGTATGTTAGAGTTCCAGAAGGTGAAGCTTTACAGTGCCTCACAGAAAGAGCGATGAATTGGCAGGATAGAGCAAGACAACTTCTTCTACATCCTGAATTGGAAACTGCTAAAAATAAACTTGCAATGCTTAGTCAGAAGTATAATGAAGCAGCAGCGAGACAACGAACGGAAAAAATCATTTCTAATGAGCTGAAAAGAGCATCCAAAAATCCTGAGCTCCATCAAAGAGTCCAAGAAATAACTCCCTTCAGTGGAGTTGGCGATGACAATGTGACATGTGATAGTGGTATAAATGATTCTGATGATGCGTCTAGAGAATCTAAAGATTCTGATGACCGAATGGGGGAACATGCATACTCTTTACATGTTCCGAAAGTTGGAGATGGGGAAGATTACATACTTCATATAAATACGGATATGAGGAAGCAGTTAGAGGAACTTCTTACAGAAGGTGACTTATTAGAAGTATATCTGGATGAGACATTTGCACTTTGGAAGTTGATGCAAGCTTCAAGGCAACCTGACCGTGAAATGATACTTATTGACTTTGACGTGAGTTTATTTCAATTTTCAGTTGTATTTCTTTGTTAATACATTCAGGTCAAATCATTCTATAATTCATTTTTGGAAGCTGGGCAGTAATAAAAGCTCTTCATGTATGTAAAATATTTACAGGATGTTCGCTTGAATTCTATTTATTTCTTCATATTTTCTATTGTTTGTCTCGGTACAGGTGAGTTGACTCTGTTTTGTTCGATTGATGACCTATTTATTTTGTAGAAATTCATATTGAATATAGAATGAAGAAAATAACTTTTGTCTTAATTTCTACTAGTTTATTATTAATTACGACCGATTTCGGTGTATTACACCATTTTCAAGTTACTTGAATAAACTCAGTAACATTATTGGTTCAATGGTTTCATCAATAATATTACCTAATTCCCACGTTTTCTCTTCTACTGTAACCATATGATATACATAATTTTCCCAGTGATTTTAAGTGACTTGTTTTGAAGTATATTCAAATAATTTTTGAACAATATGTAATAGGGAATTTATGTATGTCCATACTTTAGCGGATTTAAATCACATTGTTAAAGAGGAAGTCACTATACCTTGCAGTTTTAAAGTTTTTCAAACTGCTTTGTCTTATTTTGTGATAATCTGTATCTTTTTGTGCTGCTGCACGAATTTTGGTATTTCCTTATCAATGATAAAAACATGTACATCCATGCCACAAAAAATCACGGTTTTTCGCTTGCACTCTTTTATTACCTTATAAACATGTCTGTTTCCGGGAAATTTGCATCATCATAGGAAACTTTTATTTATTGCTGCCTAAAAAGTTAGTACCCCATTCAAATTATTCTATGGGGTGATTTATTACTGCACACTTTTAAAATGGGCTATAGCCAAAGTCCTCATATTATGAGCTATATATACATATTATGTCTGTGTGTGTGTATATATATATATCTCCTCTGATATCTTTATTTTTTTTTTTTCAACGTTTTGAAAAATATAACGTAGTTTCTATGTGAGGGGGATATATTTGAATCAACTTCTTTTTTGTATCATCACCATCTGTCGCTACAAAGCAGATGGTGATTATACCATATTGTAAATTTAATATTCATCCTTCTAGGCTCATATGAAGAGCTCACCAAAAAAAAGAGGACGAAAACGACTATCTGAGGAATCTGACTTGAATAAAAAGATAACGAAATCAGTTAAATTAGACATGGAAAAGAAGATACGGGGACGTAAGATGAAAACTAATAAAGAAACAGGTAAAAAGCGAGGTAATAAGAAACGATTGGGGCATTGTCAATCCACTGCCTCTGATGGAGATGACGATGATGATGATGACGATGATGACGACGATGAATCTTGTGCAGCAAATGGGTGTCAGAAGCCTACCGGCCAAAATGTGGACTGGGTACAGTGTGATGGGGGTTGCGAACAGTGGTTTCATATGGCTTGTGTGGGACTTTCAGCTCAAGAAATCAATGAAGATGAAGATTATATTTGTATAACTTGCTCGAAAAGTACTACTTATGAGAACTTGGACAGTCGATCAAGTAGTCCTAGGTCTCCAGATTCTACACAACCTTCCACGTCAAAAGACACTTCATAGTGAAAACCTTTAGCCACAAAGTTTGTGTTTTCAATAAGGGAAAAAGTAAGAAAGTATTTTAGTATTATAGACTATGTATACACAGTTCAGTTGTGATAATTTAAAGTTAAGAATTGTAAAATATTTTTCTTTTTTTTAGATTATTTATCATGATTTAAATTAATTGTCATTGTACATACAACAAACTCGTCAAAAATCTTATTCAAGTGGAAACTGTAATTTTGAATATGTCTTCTGAAGAAACAACTGACACTATGACTGGTTTTTTAGAAACTTTGGTAATGTTTGTTTGAATGTGGTCATTCGGTAAATGTTCAAGTTTCAGACATCCATTATCTGAAAACGTGTTAACCAGTTTGAAATATATGATGAAATGATAATTGAATGAAATATTGAAAACATTTCAATCTAAGCAACTTCACGACGTTTCGATTGTTAGATCCACAACCATCTTTAAATGATAAGTGGCCTGTTCCTGATGCTTTGAAAGTATTTATTGTCAGTAACGACTCTTTTCTTTCAATTTGATTAGAGGTTTCTATACATTACGGATCTCACACTACTAGCCTGACTGAATATGTTGTTGAAACGCAACTTCTTCAAACTTTCAAACTATTTCAAGCAAGTCTACCTTCTTTGTGGGTGTCTTCAACTTTGAAAGATTTTATGTTATGTCGGTGAGGTCAAATTCTGTTATTCCGGATTTGCAGGTTTCTCCTCGGTGGGTGTTTTTGTTTTGCTCACCAATGCTAACCATCAACGACTTTTTGTTTTCACCGATATAGGACTTGCCGCACTCACATGGTATCCGGTAAATGCAATACTTGAAGTCATTTTATACATTTGATGGCTTGGTATTTATCAGACTGCTAGGGATGGAGGACTCTTGTTTTTTTTTGACAAGGCCTGTTCCACCAGATTTTTGGAGTAATAATTATGTTGAAGACCTTTCCTGACATTATTCAGTTCTTTGTTGAAAATTTCTCACAGAGAATGAATGCACAGTCAAGGTCCTCTTTTGGTAGATTGGTGAGGTTGAATACAGAAAACAAACTCATACATGACAGTATCTGAAATATGAATCCAGTTGCGGAAGAATAGCCATGCTATACTCTGCCAAGAAAATGATGATCCTTGTAAGTAAATGAAGATACTCGGTTTTTTGTTTTTTGGGTGGACAGCAGAACGGAAGTGTACCCTTTTAACGCAAGCTATTAAAATTGCATCCGGCATTATTTTAGTAGATATATACTGACCTAAATTTTAATCATATAAATTTTCCTTTAAAAAATTTGGATATATTTCTTATTCACTTTTCACGTTTCATAAACATTGCGAAAATGTAAACTTACCATTTCTCAAGGTTGTTTCACAGAAAATCGATAGTTCAACAAGTTGGGATATTACTAAATTTTTCAGTAGGATTAAAGAAAATGATTTATAGATCTACCAGATTTTTTTTTTCAAATTATTTGAACTCAAAAACTTTTTGAAGTGAGGACATAATATTGATTAAATAATATCATATATGAAACATTCAGTTTTGCATGGCTTTTTTTCGTATGTTAATTAGTATAACATTACTTCAATTATCTACTTTGCTTTTACCCCAATCTTCAAGAACATGCAAGTAAACTTTGGTAGTTTGCTTCATTATCTGTCAGAGGTAGTGAACTGAGTTGTAAAGTGATAAATTGGTTAAGGCTTTCGCAGCCAAGATTTTCAGTGTTACGATCTTTGTTCGGGTTTGAAGGCCGTCGTGATGGTTCACCGATGACTAGTGATTTCTAGTTCGTAAGCTGTATTTATGTTGACATAGGTAGTCCGCCTTTCTAGTTGGTGCGTTGTTATTGGCTGAAGTGTTATTACCTGTTACATTGCTAAGGTGGTAGCAGGGCAACGCAATGTAACAGGCAATAACTAACTAAGGTGGCAGCAGGGCAACACAATGTAACAGGTAATAACACTTCGGCCAAAGATGCTAAGGTGGCAGCAGTGCAACACAATATAACAGGTAATAACACTTGGGCCAATAACAACGCACCAATTAGAAAGGCGGGCTACCTGTGTCAACATAAATTCAGCTTACGAACTAGAAATCACTAGTCGTCGGTGAACCATCAGGATGAATAGACCTCTGAAGAAGCCAGCCACTCGTGGTGACGAAACGTTAGGATACAGTTCCAAACCACGATGGCCTTCAAACCCGAACAAAGATCATAACACTGAGTTGTAAAGTGTTTCAAAATGTCTATTGATAACATGGTTTTCATCGACTAAAGTCGATGGTCGACTGGTTGAAAAAAATGTTCATCATCACGTGCTTAAGCCATTAATACACATCAATGTCCTCTGCTACAACCAACTCCATCATGCTATTATCTAGCAAATAAAGATTATTATAATTAAATAATCCACATCATTTTCTGCCTAACTTCTATCATCATTGTTTTTTGCAGAGGAAACTGATGACATTTGTTTCATTATTACACTTCCATGAAATTGTTTTTAGTTGTATTTAGAAACATGTATTCTTCATGTACGGTTATATTAATGGACATATGAAAAATTTTTCCAAAAAAAGTCACGCCAAAGTGATATTTTTTATAAATAGCAGGCGTATTGTTCAAGCAACATGAATAATTTTGTTCTCGCTTCATATTTTTACTGATTCCAAATAATGTGAAAAAAAAAATGGAAAAAATCTAAATCGGAGCAATTTTGGAGGACATCCAATGCCAAATCAATTTGATTGGATGCTATTGATTTAGTAGATAAACATAATCACTACTATTTTGAATTCTAAGTCTCATTATCTCATTTTTTTGAATGAATTTGGTCAGGTTGATCTTATATTACAACTTTTTTTTAGTTGAAATGACTTGTGACAAATTTCATCTTTACTTCATTTTTTGAGGAAAGAGATATTGTCAGTA